CCGACAGCCGCGGCCTGGTCGCTCACCTGCCGGCCTCGTCGCCCCGAGGGGCCCATGTGCGGCCAGCGCCGAGGCGCCTCCCGGGAGCCGCTCTGTGAGGTGGCGCCCATTGTGCGGTGCCAGGGCCGCGCCCGCCTCAGAGCCACCCCGCTGCGCCCGGCCCCGACCTCGGACTTGGAGTGCTTTCGCCATGAAAAGTGGGTTTCCAGGCCCCGACCTGCGGCCCGGTGAGCTTCGGAAAAGAAGCCTGCGGGGGGCCGTGCTGCCGGTGTGCACTTTGAACAGGTGTTATACTCACGAGGACTGGCGGCCCAGCTCCTGCCCGTGCACATCCCAGGGCGAGCTCGGCTCTTTGCCATCCGGCCCCTGTGTCCTCGGGTCCTTAGGGGCCGGTTCTTCGTGGACCCGCTGACCCTTCTCAGCCGGTTCCTCGCGTAAGCCCTGTTCCATCTCGTCCAAGTTTTTGTGTGCCTTCTGTTCTATCCTGGAGCTAGGCACGGAGTTTTTATCCGCATACTGAATACGCTCATGGCTCCTTCGTAGGATACTCAGGCCCTTCACTATCAACACCGCTGTCAAGGCGGCAGCAGCAAGTGTGGCAATAGCTCCTGTTGTTGTTACTATAATGAATGGGAAGTACATTTCAGGATCGACACCAAGTCAACTGGGAGGTCACTATTGCCTCCACCCTAGTGTCTCTAAGGAACCTTTCTTGCCCAGAGTTCGAAGGAGGCATGCTCTGTCCCACTCAATGAACACTTCCCTGGGAGACCACTCGACTTGGCTTCCCAGCAGGCAGTGCGCGCACAGAGCAGGGATTGGATGCTTCTGGCCCATCAGAACTCTGGGTTTCAGTGGCTTCCACTACCTAGTTGCCTTCTTCAGCTATCATCCTGAGGGATAGTGATCTACTAGAGGCTAGATTTGTTCCTGGATAACCTTGAAGCTCTTCTGGGACCACAAATTCCATTTTATTTATCTATGATGTCTTTGGAACCTCAGGTGTAAGTTTTCCTTAAAATGTTAAAAAGAAATCACTGATGCCAGGAACAAAGAGTTCTCATTCTTTACAGCTAACAGGAGGAAATGAGTACTTAGAGGTTAAAACAGGACAAGTGTTTAGAGGTTACATGGATTTAGGTCTTAATTCCAGTCATTCATAACTTTTACCACCTATAGGACCCTTGGCAATTACTTTCCAAGCCGTGGGCTCAGTGTCTCTCGAAATGGTATTACTCACTGGGCTGTTTTTTTTTTTTTTTTTGGTTTTTTCGAGACAGGGTTTCTCTGTGTAGCTTTGCGCCTTTCCTGGGACTCACTTGGTAGCCCAGGCTGGCCTCGAACTCACAGAGATCCGCCTGCCTCTGCCTCCCGAGTGCTGGGATTAAAGGCGTGCGCCACCACCGCCCGGCAACTGGGCTGTTTTTTAGACTAAATACAAACATAGCATTAGTGTCTGGCACCAAAAGGTCAATGTACTTATGCTTGGCTCCTTGGACTATAAGGATAATGATAATTTATACTGATCGTGTATCCAGCAAACTTGCTGCACTCTATTGTAGATTCTAGTGTGTTTAGTTTCTTAGACTTTCTCAGTTTCAAACCATATAACCTAGGAAATAACTTTATTTTATCCTTTCATTATTGTTTCCTCTTAATGATGTTTAAGCTTGCCAATAAAATGTAGACTATAAGGAATAATAGTGAGCATACTTGTCTCTACAGAAAATGTTTATAAAAAATTCAAAAATTAAAAAAAAGAAATTCAAAAATTAACATTCCTAGTTTGCTATGAGTTTTTCTTCTCTTGAATGCTGAAACTTAGCCAAATGCTGGTCATCACTGAATGAAATGGTACCCCTAGTCCCAATATGTTACTCAGTGAAAAATATTAGCAGATGCTTTAACATCCTCATGTTCCTGAGCTAAATCAGCTATCCAAAGATGATTTTGATTGTTTTCAGATATACTACATTTGACTTGATTATGTAGAACATTTGCATCTAAATTCACAATTGAAACCAACCATTTTGCTTCCTTTACTCTTCTTCAAGATAAGACTAGCTTTCTTAGTTTTTTTAAATTTATGTGATGAGACACAATGACCAAGGCAACTTATAGAAGAAGTTATTGGAGACTCACATTGCAGAGCATTGGTATCCATGATTGTCAGGTGGGGAGCATGGTAGCAGGCAGGCACGGCACTGACGCAGTAGCTGAGAGCTTACATCTTGACTCACAGGAGGAAGGCACAGAAAGCTCCCTGGATATGGTACAGGCATTTGAAACTTCAAAGCCCACCTCCAGTGACACATCTCCAACAAGGCCCCTAATCCTTCTCAAAGAGTTCCACCAACTGAGGAGCAAGCATTCAAACATACGAGCCTATGGTGCCACTCTCCTTCAAACCACCACACTAACTTTGTAGACTTAGAAGGAGGATTCCTCTCTTCTCTGACAAAGATTTATGACCACTGGTCACCACATTATTTTAGTGGCTATAATTTATTCATGGTTTTTACTATTTTGAGTCAACAGTCAAAATTTTATTGAAAATTACTATTTTATCTATACCTTCAAAATGGCACCTGTTGATTTATTTAAGTCAAATCTCCTTAGCCTTTTTTGTCTTTTTTTTCCATTCTTAATATTGCTTGTCTTTGTCGTGGTTCTTATCACTACTACTTAAAAGAACTGGCTTTTGATTTTCCTGCCTTCATCATTATGTCTTTTTTAAAATCTGCTTTTACTGTTTCCTTTTTTGTTTTTCCCAACTGGGGATTCAACTCAAGATCTCACACATGCTCAGCAAACATTCTACAACTGAGCTATAGCCCCAACCTGGTCTATTTCCCCCTTGCCCAATCCCTAAAGTTAAATATCTGCTTCATCAATGTGATGGCTATTCTTATGCCAACTTGTCACAGCTAGAGTCATTTGGAAAGAGGGGATCTCAATTAAGAAAATGCACCTACCAGATTGGCCTGTGGCACATTTTCTTAGTGATTGATGTGAGACAACCCAGTCACATTGTGCATGGTGACACCCCTGGGCAGGTGATCCTGGGGTGTAAAAGAAAGCAGGATGAGCAAGCCTTGAAGACCATGACAGTAAGCACCACGCTTCCATGGCCTCTTCATCAACTCCTGCCTCAAGGTTCCTGCCTTGACTTCCTTTCATAATGGACTGAAATGTGGAAGTGAAAGCAAAATAAACCTTTTTCTCCCCAAGTTGCTTTTTTTTTGCAATAGAAACCCTAAGACAATATTTAATGCTTTATAATTCATACATATGAGGCCTTAATAAAATTCCTTCTAGATATTATTTTAGCTATAATCTTACTCAAAATTTCAGAAGTTGAGACATAAGAGTGAGAAATGGAGATTAAAAATACCATCTTTATTACCAGTAACATTAATAAATGACTGGTATACTTGTGGATTTGTGATTATTGAGCCCCAGATATAAGTAAACTTACCTAAGCGTAGAGTAACTAATGTCATATTCAAGTCTCCTCCTATAAAACTTATATTAAGAAGGAAGAGAGTGGAATATATGTAGACTCATAAGAAAAGTAAAAAGGGGGCTAAATTATTCCCAAATTCACAAAAGTTAGCATTTTTCCTTTCAAAGGCAGTAAGCACTTAGCTAGGTTTATTAATTTGTTTATATCACTACTTCTTGCACAACCATTTCTGGGTTCAGGTTTGAAAATCTTTCAGCAACAGGTCTCTGAATGATGAAACATATAAAATATTATTTTAAGTAACTAGAGTTATAATTTAGCTAAATATAGTTTCTTACGGGGTGCTGATGATTGCACCCAGGACCCCACACATGCTGAGCACATACTTTACCACTGAGTTATATTCCCAGCCGCTAGAATCCATTGGCAGTATCCCCCCTCTCTGGCTATCCACTATGCATGAGTCTAAATAGTAATCCTTTTAAAGTTTTGAGTTGGTCTCTTTTTCCTATTTTGGTATTTCATAATCACACGTCTGTGGATTTTACTTATTCAGTGTATGTTTTGTTAACCTTTAATGGTTTTTGTCAGTTTTAATTTATTTATTTAAGATAACAGGAGAAGCACTGGAATATGGCTCAAAAGTTAAGAGCATAGACTTCTCTTCCAGATGACCCAAATTTGGTTCCCAGCACCCACATCAATTGGCTCACAACCAACTGTAATTCTAGTTGCAAGGAATCTGCACACATGTGATGCACACTAACTCATGCAGGTACACACACATACACATAAAATAATCTTTTAAAAAGAATGGGTTTCATCATGACATTTTCATACACAGGTGTCACTGTACTTTGTGTAAATTCACCCTTCAGGGGGTTTGAGATTCTTGAAAAGTATAAACCACTATTTCTTTCACTGTTCCTCTCACTCCTTCCTTCCTTCCTTCCTTCCTTCCTTCCTTCCTTCCTTCCTTCCTTCCTTCCTTCCTATTCCTTTTGGATTTACTAGAATCTGTGGAGTTTCTTGCATTCAAGCTTCAGTGATTCTTAGAGCATCTTTTGACACCTGATTTTAATTCCCATTTACCACCTCCAGATATTCTTTTACAGACCTGCTTGTATCTTA